GCCATGTTACTGCTTTCTATAGCTTTTTTCTGAACAAGAAAGAATCCAAACCAGTCATACATACTATGGTGCAGAAAGAGGGAAACGTGTAATTGTGAGTTTCTCTTCTCACAAGCTATTTAAACTTTAATAAAACAAATTTCTCAGTTTAAATACTATCAGGTCAACAAATTAAGACAACTAATCACAGGTACAGATTTTCTGAAGTTATTTAAATAAAATTTTAAGAGATAGCAATATTCTTTAGCCTAGATGTATGGAAGCAATATTTGCCAAGCAGAAACCAATAGGATAGTACTGTTTCACATTAGCATAAATATTGAACAGGGAAGTTAAACCAGTATTTTGTTTGTTCTCAATCATTTATCAGAGCTGATTTCTCTGTTTCCTAATGCTTTTGGAATTTGTTTCACTAGCATCTTCCTCAGATTAAGGACTGGAATTCCTTTAGGTGGAACCAAGAGACAAGAGAAGATTGGAGATGTTCAGTCTTTCAGAGCAGAAAAAGATAAGGGTGGAATGGAGTTTTAGTATGAGGTGTGCAGTGATCTTCTGTATTGCCACTTGTATGAGCTTTCTCAGTGCTAGGACACAATACCTGATTCCTACAACTTTTTTAAAGGAGAGGTTTAATTCAGCTCACAGTTGAAGGGATGCAGTCCATGGCTGGCTCCCAGGCAGAAATGGCATGGTAGAAGGGTGAAATGAAGGAACAGTGCTTGCCTCATGGAAGCCAGGAACCAGAGAGAGAAAGAGGAGGACAAGAATACATCCTTCTAGGGCATGCCTCAAGTGACCCTCCTCTTCCAATCAGGCCCCCATCTCCTAAAAGTCCATTCAACTATGAACTCAGCAATGGGTTGATTCATCGAAAAGTAGAACACCACTTTTAAACCCAGTTGCCTTCCAAAACCCCACTTCTGAACCAGAGATTTTTGGGGAGCATTTTAGATATAAGCTACAACACCACTATTATCTTCACTTTTTGTATGATAAAACTGAAGTTCACAGAGCTTACACTCTTACCAGTAGCTCCACATATGAAAGATGAAAATGAAACACTCCATAGCAATGCTACTAACCAGCATGAATGTTGGGAAATTGACAGAGATTTATTGAGAAATGGTTTAATTTGTTTGATTTAAACAATTTTTTTCCTTAGAGTTTGTTATAGCTTGTTTTTAGATGTCCCTCCAAAGCCTCATGTGGTTATAGGTGGGCCTTTTTCAGAGGTGGCTGGATCTAGAGTGTGTGAATGATTCATAGTGCAATGCTATGATTAAGGTTTGTGATTACTAAATCAGTCCACTGCTTGGTTTGGTTCTGCCCTAATCCCAGTAGCCTAAATAGAGTATATATAAAAGGGGCTGACAGACACTGTTAAGGCCTTTTTTTGCCTTGCTACCTTCTGCCTGCCATGGACTGTTTCTCCTCTGCAATGCTTGTCTGCCACACCACCCTGCCTTGGAGCCAGCTGATTATAAATTGAAACCTCTACAAACTGTGGCCTAAATAAACCTTTCCTCCCTTAACTACGGGCATCAGGTATTTTTGTCTCATCAACAAGAAAAGTAGCTAAGACAGAGTTCTTTTTCCCCTTGCCTCTTTTGCATTGACTATACTGATTAGTGGTTTCATTCTGGCAGGCTTGCACACACACAAAACATGCTTTGGTCATTTTCATGTCCCCATCACCCCCTCACTTGACAATCTCCTCTAGTTTCACATGTCTTGAGGGGTTTGAATGTAAATATTTTGGTCATATACCACCCCCCCTTAACCACCTGGACACCTCCCTGCCTGCTCCATGTTCATATTCCCTCCCACTTGTCAAATAGCAGCCTCCCATCTACTTTCCTGTCATCCTTTTACAGTTGCTCTTACTGGGGAGAACATCCAACACTTGTCTGAGTTGGGCTTATTTTTGCACAACATGATGATTTTCTGATGCATACATTTTCCTATAAGTTGATTTAAATCCTGTGTTGGATTATTCAGTGATAATTAAATATGTGGATTCTTAGTGTCAAATTAAAACATCTGGAAATTTAGGGGCTGGGGATTTAGCTCAGCGGCATAGCACCTATTTGGCAAGGGCAAAGTCATGAGTTTGGTTCCCAGTACTGAAAAAAAGAATAAATAAATAAAACATCTGGAAATTTAAAAGTATTTTTGGCAAGAATTCCTCTTCTCAAAAGAATTAACCATATTCCAGTAATACATGCCTACCCATGTTTACAGCAGCACAATTCATAGTAGCTAACAGAATAACATTAACAGAAAATTGATTGGAATGATAAGACCTTGGAAGCTGCCTACATGTCCATGCATAAATGCATAAAAAATGTGATATTAAGCACAATGGAGTACTATTCTGCCATAAAGAAAGATAAACTTGAGACATTTGTGGAAAAATAAATGTACCATAAGACCATAATGTGAAGTGAAATAAATCAGACACAGAAGTTTAAATATCACATGGTTTCTCTTCTATGAAAACCTCAAAGTATAAGTAGAGTTTCAGACATTCTTCATAGCATTATACTGTACTATCTGTACAGAATTCTGTGAAATTTTCAAATCAATATTTCTCATTAAAAATACCTATAAAACTTTACATTAACTTAGACATTTTCACCAAAGTCATTGAATTATAAGGAACTTTACATTTGAAGTATATAATTAAAATGCATTCTTTTCAAATAAAGTTTAATAGACTCAAGTCTCTGAGTGATCTTAGTATACTATGAAGGTCTCCTAGATTATGGTATGAGAAGTATAATACATTTAATCAATATCACTGTAATAATTGCAATTGATTGTAATAATAATACCTTGCTTTGTAAGTTTTCTCACTTTACTGTAGAAGATGTTGTGATAGGTGATCCATAAAACCTCAGTGACAATGAAAACCCATGTTAACATTATCTTTGAAGCTATATTCAATATTTTACTGTGAAAATGCATTATTTTTATTTTTCAATGATAGTATTTAAATTATGATTGTTTATTATTATTTGCACTTATTTTATGCACATATTGATAAGTATCTTTTCAGAAATTAAATTATTTAAACTATTTAAAGGTAGAACTTATTTAATAAGTGCTGAAATTTCTTTCTCCTCGATAACTACTTTTCTCTATTAAGCATGAGCTCTAACAGAGATTTTAGTCTTGTTCCGATCAAATCTCTTAAGTGTTTCAACATTTACAGATCCAACTTTTGAGTGCCACTTGTATACATTTACCTTTTTCATTGTCTTAGTTACTCTTCTTGATGCTAGGACAAAATACCCAACACCCACAAGTTAAAAGACAAGAGGTTTATTTTGGCTCACAGTCTCTGGAGGTTTCAGTCCATAGTTGGTGGTTCCAAGGCAGGCAGCCATGGCAGAAGGGCATGGCAGGCAGGAAGTAGCAGGACTCCCTTCTTCCTTCCCTTTTTAGTCCATCCAGGCTACAAGCCTATTGGCTGATGCCACCCACACTCAGGTGGGTCTTCTCTCTTCAGTAGTCCACCAACTGTACCCAGGACTGCAATAAACCAAGCAGCATACTCTGTTAGTATTACACACTCATGATCCAGTCACTCACAAAAGCCACACCTTTAAGTGCGTGAGACTTTTGGGGGACATCTGGCAATTATATATAACAACTGCTTTTTCTTCTCTATGAAAGGATGCTCAAGACTTGTTTTAGTAACCTTTCTCATTGCTGAGACAAAATGCCTGACATTCAAAGTTAAAGATGGAAAGATTTATTTAGGTCACAGTTTGTAGAGGTTTCAGTCCATAATCAGCTGGCTCTAAGGCAGGGTGACATGGCAGAGTGACAATGCAGAGGTGAAACTGTTCATGGTGGACAGAGGGGGAAGATACACCTCTTTCTGTCCTTTCCATTATTCCAGGCTATCAGGATTAGGGCAGTGCCAAATCAATCAGTGGACTGATTTATTAATCACCCACCTTTAATCCTAGCACCCTTAATCCTAACACTACACTGTGAATCAATCACACACTCTAGATTCAACCACCTTTGAGAAAGCCCTACCTATGACTGCATGAGGCTTTAGGCAGACATCTAGACTCAAACCATGGTAAGACTTCTCTGATGTTTATACAGTATTAGATGATTTTTAAGACCGTGGTTCAATATATCATCTCTTCTTTATATTCAGGTTCAGAAACTTCACATTAAAGATTGTAAAAGGATTATTAAGAAATGTGTTTAGAGCTTTGCGTAGTGGAAGTATCATAGCCAATGATGTTTACCTGAGGTGTGATTATTTCTAATATTCAGTATTTGTGAGATATATATTTTTAATATTAATGTGTATGCTCAAGTGAATATCTAAGAATTACATAATTGCTAATCACATAAGAATGTCTGTGAACTGTAAAGCTACGGCTAAGCTATCTCGAAACTGTAACTTCCTTAAGCCAAGAGTGGTGCTCTGAGGACGCACTGAGCCCCGTCTGCTGAGAACGATCTACTCTGTTATCCTGCAGTCTAGGGTCAATATTAATTTAAATTTTACATCATGGCAGATGGCAGATGGTGCTAGATACATTATACTTCATGCTCTTTGCCAGCGACCCCTGCCCTGGCCCATGCTTTGCGCTGAGCTGGATTCCTTGTGGTTATCCCTGGCCGCTCCTCTCGATCCGACCTCTGCTCAGGTTCACTTTCTACACTCACTACCCAAGGGAAGACTTCTGAACAGGGTGATGCACTTGCCTTTACCTTGTAAAAGTGACTCAGGATATTTTTCAGTGAAAAAACTGATAAGGCACCTGTGGAATCTACTGGATCAGAAATCCTGAGCCTCTGGCCTAGAAATCTGGTTTAACAAGCTCTCAAGATGCTTCTATTAAAAGCTAAGGTTTAAGAGCCAGGAAGTAAAGATTAAAGATTTGTGTGGTAAAGGTAACTCAAACAACGCAGTTTCAGGAGAGGGTCAAAACACGTATGAGAGTTAATGATTAATACAACTAAAATTGTTAGCAAGCGATGGGCCGTAGAGTAGGCAAAGGGCATAATTTTCAGTTAATTATCTGATACAGACTTTCAGTGGGAAAGAAAAAGAAATGATTGATAAGTGTTGGAGAAGAACCTAAAGTTGGGTGGTTAATCTCCCCAAATCAATTAGAGGTAAGTACAGCAAGATGGTAAATTTTTATTTTCTTCTACTTTTTGTGTACATTCTCCTTTACCTTCTTTACCTTGCCTACTATATAGACAAAGCAGATATGTGTATGGGAAGTACGTTTTGATGAATGTTATGGTGATAAAGTAATTCATTTTCTTTCAGAAAATTAATTTATCATAAGATTTTTTAAAATACCTTTATTTCTTATGAGACTGTCAAGATACTTGTCTTTGTAAACTAACATTGATTTATCAATTTACCTTCAGGTGAGGAGACATATTTTAGTTTACTTGTCTTTTTTCTCCTTTTTGACAAAGAATACATTGGGTAAGGCTTGAAAATGAGTTGATTAAGAAACCAGAGCATGTTCAAAAACAAAAACTTTTTATATTCACAGCTAATGGAAGACAACTAGAATTGCTGCATGCCTCAAAAATGGGCCAACATGAAGTTTTAATGTTAAAAGTATAGCAGAAAGTTGATAGCTATCATGTATGTTTGATAAGTGCTATAAATATTTAAAAATTTCAAGAATGAGGCAAAATCAAATTGCTTTATTACTAGCCATTATTTTATTGAACAGGAAATTCATCCCTGTGCCAAAACAAAGGAGAGGCACTTGGCTCATTTTCTTTCCTAAGCTTCTGTGATATTTTAATTCCCTCATATTATACATTTATACTTTAAGGAGGAAATTTCAAAATAGGGCTTCATTAACAAATTCTACCCCATTGCTGTCACTATAGTTGTGGTTGTATGTTTCACTTAGTGCAGGTACAGTAGATATTACTTAAATGTTTTTATTCATTTTAAGATAATGGTAAATTTTAAAAGTAATTCATTCAGGGCCAGGGATATAGCTCAGCAGCACAGTGCCTGCCTGGAAAGCATGAGGCCCTGAGTTTGATTCCCAGTACCAAAAAAAAGTAATTTATTCTATATTATCAAATTAAAGTTAAATATACTTTCTTTAAAGAAAATTGTCATAGTTATACTAAAAATTCTTATTTTCCAAGAAAAAAAAGATGGACAATTTGATGGTTTGATTTTCTTCAATAATAACTGGTCTGCTATATATTTTTCCACTTATGATATACTTCTTGTCATTTATTTTTCTTAGAGAAAGCACTCTTTTATCCCAGTTTACAAATAAGAGGAGAAAAATTTGCTCCTTTACAATTATTTCCATTTCTTCCATGGCTGTACCTCATTCACTCATTTCACTCAAGTCTACTGAGCATGTAGCAAGTTTCTAGGTGCCATGCTGACACCGAGTACTTATCTGTGGATAAGATGGACTGGGTTCTGTTATATGGGCCCCTGATTTACTGAGGGGGACGTGGAATAAAGAAGTAAGTCAGTGCTGAGTAGACTAAGTGCTGCGAAGGTGAGACTGCAGCGTCACAGCAGAGAGGGCAACTGTGAGGAAGAATCACTGTGCGGTGGTCAAGAAAGGACATTTTGGGAAAGTGACCTTTAAGCTGAGACCTGGCAAATGAGAAGAAATGAGCCACAGCTTATAGCAGTGGTGAAATCTGGGGACAGAGCATTTCAGGAAGAAGAAGTAAGTCAAAGCTCTAAAAGGAAAATGAGGTGAAAGGATAATTGCTTCTGTGTTTTCTTCCCTAATTCCCTGTCTGTGCTTTGCCTCTTTTTTCTTACGTATCAGCTGGTGATTCAATTTTTGTTTCTTATTTACAGAGAATCATTTCTAAGTTCCCCTCTGCACTCATTTTCTTTTCCTTTTTGTTTTCGTTTTTAAGGCTTTAAGTATTGACAAGTTGAAACTAACCAAATGTACAGTCTGAAAAGCTTTTTGGTTTTTGGTTTTTGTTTGGTACTGGAATCGAACTCAGGACCTTGTGCCTGCCAGGCTGGCACTGTGCCACTGAGCTATCTCCCGGCCAGTCTGAAAAGTTTTGACCTATTTATGCACCTATGAAGCTGTCACCTTCTGCTATTCCATAACTGCCTTGTGCTCTCTTCCAAAGTGACCTTCTGCTTGCAGTCCTTTCCACCCACTCCTGTCCGCTCCAGGCATTTGTTCTGATGGTCTGTCCTGTCTTCCCTCCTCTCTCCCCCAGGACAAGTTCTTTCTTCCCACAGTCTCCCTCCTTCTGCACTCTTCCAAATGAAACTCCCCGACGAATTTGCCTGTGCTCGTCTGATTTCACACTGCCCTTCTCTCTTGGGTCCTATTCAGTTAGGGTCCTTTTCCCATTACTCAAACAAAATCACCCTTAACTACCACATTACTAAACTAGTGACCCGTTCTTGAGTTCAAGTCTCAAAAATGTCTATTGAATATGTATTTCTTTATCTGTTTGTTGCTCATCCAAATAAAATACAAAGTCTTTTTTCTTTACTGTGTTCTTGAGATCTACCACAGTCTCCAGCATATACCAAGTGCAAGCTATTTCTTGAAGTTTTACTGAAGGCCCTTCATGTGTAGTTTTGTTTGTATAAACTGTATTTTGCTATTATCTTTCTATGCTAAGGAGATGAGAGATACTGAAATACTTGGTCATAGGTCACATGTTTTTTTATAGTTATTAATATTTTATAGAAGGATAAGTTCTTCAGAGCACATGTTTGATGAAGACACTGAAAGGGGCAAGTCAGGAAGAGGGTTGCAATATCTTTGCTGGCTCCAATTATTTCATAACTTGGGTCTGGGTTAGCCGGAAGCCTTGGCTTTGAATGCTGCAGGACAGTGTGTTCTTTCTTGGAAAACTCTATGACAAAGATCAGCTCCTACAGAGCTATTTACCTCTTCTCTTTCCCTCTAAAACACTCAAGACTACCTTTAGCAAAGAAAGCATGATGTTTCCAAGGGAATAAAAAAATACAGAATTTCAAAACAAGGTGATAGGAAATTAACAATGGTTATTATATTGCATATTGCTATCTTCAAAGTAGTTGCTCAGATTACCAGATAGAGGCATGCAAAATTGATCAAACAGTATAAACACTGTTTCTTTCAATGAACTAGTAGAAATTAATAGTATAATTATCTTAGCTATCTTGTGTATACATATATAGCTTTTCCCCTTCCTTCTTTTCTCCTTTCCGCTATCCCACTTGCTCTTTCCTTTTGAGCAGTTTCTTTTCCTTGCACAGTATCTTTTGTACCTTTTGGGTCTTATTTACTCTTTCAGGTTCTTGCACTAGGAAGACAATACTATGTTTACACATGTGAGTCTGATTTATTTTGCTTGAGAGTATGGTCTCTAGTTGCATTCATTAACCTATAAAAGCTTTGAATTCACCTTTCTTTATGGCTGAGTAATACTCCATTGTATAAAAATACCACATCTTTTTTATCCATTCCTTTGTTGATGGGCATTTGGGTTGTTTCCAAGATTTAGCTATGACGAAATGTGCTGCTAGAAACATGGGTGAATATATATGTGTCTTTGTTATTATTTTTGTTACTTCTAAGTTCTTTCCTTTCTTTTTTGATATTCCAGTGCCTCAGGTGAGCTAGTGGTACTCCCTACCCCCAATCTGTTCTATTTACTTACCTGAAATAGTTTTTGTTTATGTCCTTATTTTCTGTATCTCCCACTAGAGCACAAGCTTCTTCACAAGGAGCTTTGTTTGTGTTATTCATTATTGAATTCATTGTGCTTAGAAAAGTGCCTGGCATGTTACTGGCTCAGTAAAAATTGTATGAATCTACTTAAATATTAGGGGTTACATGTATCCATAAAGGGCTGTGAGTGCAATCCATGCAAAAGTATTTTCTTTGCATAGAAACACAACAAAAACCCTAGTCTGCCGTCTATTAATTTAATGGAGCTTGTTACACATGCATTTTATTCGATGCTGTTTATTAGGGAGTTAAAGATATTCATTTAAGTAGCCTTTCTACCTTTTTAATTATAAGTTTGGTTCTAATTTTATCCTGGAGGATCATAATGAATTTTTATTTTTATTTTTTTTACTTTTTGAGACAGGGTTTCACTACACAGTTCAGACTTGCCTTGAGCTCACTTGTGTGTGTGTGTGTGTGTGTGTGTGTGTGTGTGTGTGTGTGTGTGTTGGAAATTGAGCTCAGGACCTTGAGCTTGCCAGGCAAGAACTTCAGCTCACTTTGTAGCCCAGGCTGTCCTCAAATTCACAGTGATCCTCCTGCCTTAGCCTCCCAAGTGCTGGGATTACAAACATGTGTCATCACTTCTGGCTGTCATAGATGATTTTTAACTTTGTTTGTAATCCTTTGCTTTTGTTTTGTTTCAAAAATCATGCTTTTTGTTTCTTGATTCAAAGTTATACAAAGAATAAATTTTGATTAGAGAACAATGTATATTATGGGGTTAAAAGGTGAAGTTGAAGGTATGTTTGCATATTTCATAATAGGAAATAACAAAGTCCTTCCCTGCTGGCTGCAATTTTCTCAGTGAATTAACAGGAACATTTTCACCTGCATATGCAGCATAGCAGAAAAAGATACGTTGTGATTTAGAAGACTAAAGGCAAGGCACAGTAATCTAACAGAAATTTTAGGGTCCACAGGAAATACTGAACGCCAATAGAAGGTTTCTAAGCCTTCATTTATACTGAAAACCATCAACCATCTGTGTGGGTTTTTTCCAGCAAAATTCAAGTACTAGAGTCTGTGTACAGAGAGCAGATGAATTCACCCAAAGTCAGGCCACATGTGCGGCAGAGAGAAATGGAGATGAGTGACGCAAACACATCTGCGAGAGAGATTGTGATGCACCACACGATCCAAACTGGGCAAGCGGAGTGTGGGAAAAGGGGACCCACAGACAGTGAGTAGTGTCTTCGGTAAGCTGGCTGATTGGTAGTTTCTTTAGGTCAAAGAAGTTTTCTAGGGGTGGGACTGCCTCCATAAATCAGCTGGACATTTGAGAGTAGTGGGCACAGGACGCTTGAGCTCAGCAGAGGTGGAGTCATGGACAGTTGGGTGGATCATCTCAGGGAGAGGGGAAATCTTGAAGGTTTTCCTCTGCCCTGTCAAATACTGCATGTTCTGGCCCTGGCTCTCGCTGAAGATTCATTTTATCCTGCCGTATTCTTGTTCGGTAAACATTAGTCACACGTGTCTTCTCTTGGTTCCTTCTCTCCTGGGTGCCTTCCCACAAGAGGCCCATTTCATCCCATATGTTCCCCACTTGAAGACTTTTATGGCCTCTTTTCTTCCCCACATCTTACCCACTCCTCTCACATCACCCTTCCCTTCCCTTCCCTTCCCTTTCGTTCCCCTTCCCTCTTCTCTTCCTCGCTCACTCTCTAATTTTAAAAAGCATATTTTTTGCGTTCTGCATACATTTTATTCTGTATAGCTTTCATATCATATATCATTCCTTGTTTATGTTTTGCTTCATTTTATGCCTTAACACTTGAATATAAATTCCATGAAGGAAGGAACCATATTTATACTACTCAGCATTACATTTCTACTCTTTCAGTTTACTGACCCCTTATGGCTGTTCAATGTAGAAAATTAAGCAAATGACAGATCACATATATAGCCACATATATGATGCTGATCTTGTTTTGTTGTTGACTACACATGATAATTTTAATGCTGAAATTATAGAGGGTATGGCCTAAATTCTTACAGTGGTAAGAATTAACACATTGTCTTATAAACTAGTTTTATGAGAGTTTTCATTGTTACTTTATTATTATATTAGATTCTGAAATAGATCGTTGACTCCCTGATCAACATTTCTTATTTTATTTCTGGATTATCATGCTTTATACTTATTATTTTCTCAGACTTATCCTCTTCCTCTACAGGAGGATGCTATAATCTCAAGGAAAATTATCAAACTCTGATGAGGGCTTAAAGAAGCACTCATAGACCTAGTAAGGAAAAGTACTTTATTCCCACCTTTTAGGCATATTTTATTTTAAAAAGTAAGACAAAATGTCGCCATACATGGTGGCTCATGCCTGCAATCCCAGCACTTGGGAGGCTGAGGCAGGAGGATCATTTTGAGCTGGAGAATAGCCTGGGCTACAAAGTGAGCTCAAGCCCAGCCTGAACTGCAGCGCAAGACCTTGTCTCAAAAAGACAAAAAAAAAAAAAAAGCAGTCAATGTAGTTACCCAGTATAAATTATACTTCAAAGAACTTAACACAAGAGTGTCCAAAACTATTTGCAACTTCTGTGGAGGTTTATCTTTAACACTCTACCCTTTTATCATATAGTTACAAATAATCTTCCAGCATTAAAACATTTTCTTTGGATGTCTTGGGAAAAATGCTGAGCTCATATACCCATTATCTTTTATATTTAACAAAGGTCTAAAGAGATTAAACTGCTTATCATTTCTGTTTACTCATAATGTCTTGTATACTTACAAAATTTATTTGACAGAGACACAGGATCCTATAAAGCAGTACGAGATTCCTTAAGTTTGCTGTTTATCAGAGTCACTTCTTCAGAAATACAGATTCCTTGTCACAGATCCAGATAATCTATGTTCAGCATGTTTCATAAGGTATAGGGCACCCACTAACTTCCCTGATATGAAGATAGCCAAATTCACATTGGAAAGGCAATCAGGGTTTTTTCTCCAACTTTCTTCTACTTCCTCTTTGCTGGGTATCTGACTAATTGTGTGTGTGTGTATGTGTGTGTGTGTGTGTGTGTGAGTGTTTGTCTGCACAGATTGTTCCACTACATTGTCTAGATATAGCAAGAGGCACAACAAACAGCTAGATCCCATGTTTTAAATGTCTATTCAGGAGATACATCCAGAATGAGAGTGGAGTTTCTCAGACCCAAGTTCCAAGGAAGAGACCCTGGCATTGGACAGTCAAGGCCAAGAAAGCCTTAGGTCAGTTTCTGTGACCAGAGATATGGGGTCCTGATGCAATAATATTTCATCTCAGAATCAACTGACCTTGTGAATCAGCCAGGTCAGTTCCCAGGGAAGAGGACTGCGGGGCAGAAAATGTAATAGGTGCCAGGTTATCTTAGTGCCTGTGACTGGAGGGCATCTTCTTTTTAAGTTTTAGGCTCCGTTCATTATTGAATGTGCACACTGAAGATGGATTTATATTCAGAGGTAGATATGAACAATGTTACTCTTATTTTTGGAATTTTTCTATAAAGTTAAGATTTGCGTAGGTAAGTCTCTAGAAAAATGTAGAGTAAATTTCAGAGCTGTAGTCTCTCTGGTTGAAGAATCACTAAAACCTGGCTCTGGCCTTCCAGTCAAGTACTACTGTCTTGCACACTTCTCTGTTTCTTCAGCCAAATTAGAGAGTTTCTCCTTAACCTCTGCTGATGCTTAGTTCACTCAAAGTCTTTTTTTTTTTTTGGTTTTCTCCGGTACCGGGAACCGAACTCACGACCTTGCGCTTGCCAGGCAGGCGCTTTTGCCGCTGAGCTAAATCCCCAGCCCCTCACTCAAAGTCTTGTATTCCAATAAGCCCAACTCGTGTACATTCTCTCTAGTTGAAATATAAGCCACTCCCACTCTCTAATTCTTTGTAGACTGTAAACTTCAAAAGTGTTTCTCAGCTTTTTTCCTTGCCTCTCTCTCCCTTTCCTCAAAGGTTTCTGAGAAATAGATGTAGTCATTATCTTTGCTCCTCTACAGGTGAAGTAGTGTTAGAATTATTTCGTTATTATAGGGCACTCTCTATTAATTTCAGACAAAACAAACCAAGGAAAATGATCAAGAAAAAAGGACATTACATAATGATAAATGAGCTTGTTCTCCAAGAAGACATAATAATCAACATATATATACCCAAAAGGGACTCAAAATATGTATGGGAGTCAAAACTGTGAGCAGAAATAAATGAATTCACTAACAGAGTTGGAAACTTCAGTATTCCTCTCTCAGAAATGGGCAGATGCAGCAGGCAGAAAATTATCAAGGACATGGATGCAACAGCACCAGCTGTCAGTTGGATACAGTATAAAGTATAGACTACAGCAGAATACATTCTTCTTACATTCACATGCAACATTCACCAAGATACACCACATTTTGGTCTATAATAAATTTTTTTTTTTTTTTTTTTTTTTGGTTTTGGTTTTGGTTTTTCTCCGGTACCGGGAACCAAACTCACAACCTTGTGCTTGCCAGGCAGGCACTTTGCTGCTGAGCTAAATCCCCAGCCCCTATAATAAATTTTTTAAAAATATAAATAATACCATACCTACTCTCAGATCACAGAAGAATTAAACTGATAATAATAGAAGAAGGGGAAAGGAGATATTATGATTTGGACCTAAAATGTCCCTCAGAAGTTTAGAGATTAGGCTTTTGAAAGTTTACTGGATAATGCAGGAACTATACTCACTAATGAATTCATGTATTGTACCTCAAAGCAAGGCCTAGTTAGAAGAGACAGGACATTGAGGGTATGACTGGGAAGAATATATTCTTGTCCCCAGCTCCTCCCTTCTCTTTCTGCTTCCTGGTTGTCCAAGAGTTGAGCAACTTTTCTCCACCTTGCCCTTCTACCAGGCCATGTCTGTCTTACAGCTAGCATGTTATAGACTGAACCCTCTGAATCTGTGAGCCAAAATAAACCTCTCCTCCTTAAAAGTTGAGGGTGTTGGGATTTTGTTCTGATGAAAGCAAAGTGGTTAATATAGGAATGGATGGGAAGAGTTGAGAGAAAGAGAGAGAGAGAGACCACAAAAATGCAGAGAAAGATTAAATGCTTATTAGTGGTGAATGAGCCAATCTGAAAAGACTACAACCTCTATGATTCCAACTATATGACATTTTAGCTGAAACAGAAGTATGGGACAGTAAACAGATCAGTGGTTATCAGGAATTGGGAAATAGAGAACCATGAATAGGCAGCATACTGAGGACTTTTAGGGCAGTGAACTACCCTGTATGACGTTACAATGATGGATCCATATCCTCCTGTATTTGTCCAAACCTATAGGATGTACATCACCAAGAATAATTCCTTGTGTGAACTATGGATGATAATGGGTAGTGATTACGGATAACAGTGGGTCAGTGTAGGTTCATTGTTGTAACAAATGCACCACCTGGAGCAAGATGTTAATAATGGGGAAGGTCATGGAAGTATGGAGGCAGCAAATATACAGGAACTCTCTGTACCCTGTGCTCAATGCTGCTCTATACCTAAAACTGCTCAAAAAATAAAGCCCATTTTAAAAAAAATTAATATAAAACACAAAACAAAAATTGTATTAAAAATTCAACATAAGTAAGGAAGATGAAGTTTATCATTTTAAAAATTGAGAATATTTGGAAATTTCACATGAAGTTAATAGATAAGCTCATTCTTGATTTTTATATTTTACTTTTCTTATCAAGGCTATGTAGACATGATAAAAATATATGAATGTTTAAATTAAAAACAATTTATTACAGTAAAAGATACGCTGTCATTAGTTTCTCTGAAAATACTACCCCTTATTTCAAACACACTTATTCCACTCTTCTTTCAACTTTCTGAAGCAGCTCCAGAAGTCCTCTTTTGTGAGTGTCTTTACAAGGTGTAATCAAAAGTACACTAGTGCTGTTGCAAGGTGCCATCCAACAGAAAGGCAGGTTCATAAAACTATAACAGAGAGTCCTCATCTACCTTATTCACTAGATCTGGCACCAAGTAACTTCTGGTCTTTTTCCAAATCAAAAATGGTGATGAATGGTAAACGTTGTGAATAAGTTCAGGACACTGAGGCAGCCACAAGAATACAGTTAAAGACACCCATAAGAGGACTGCCAGAAATGGTTCAGCAAGTGGCAAAAACAATAAGTGTGTTCAAAGTGAGGAGGAATATTTTGAGGGTGATTAAAGGCAATGTG